ACTTGAGGAAAATGACTGCTGTAGTATTCATCTATGTTCTGGTGATCTGGCCAATTTGAATATCTTGGTCAAACATTTCGTGGAGTAAACTGACATTTGCCCTTTGGCACCCGTTGAAATTCCATCGTTTAGTTATCTGATAGGGATCTTCATTTTGATTTGTGCCAGGTCCAATGGCCTTTGCAGAGAAGATGGTTCTTGCCGTCTTTGGGGTAAGTTTGCACATTGTCAATCAGTACAATTTTCTGGCCATTTTTTCCCTGAACCTAGAAACAGAGTGCTAGTGCAACATAACTGAATGGATCAATGGGTGATTCATGCAGGGCCTGATCGTCCTGTGGATGACGAGGAGCCTGACGGACGACATCCCTGGGTGGTCGGTTCTCTTCCACGGCAATGTCGGGGATGGAACAGTCACCGTAAGTAGACTCCACAAATTCAATCATTTCTCAGGGACAGTCTGCCACATGAGCTCAAGGGACGGGACACCCCATCTTGATCGCAATGCAGATCATGATGGCGACGCTGCTCTTCATAATCCCGAGCGGCAAGAGCGACGGCGAGAAGCTCATGGACTGGGGCAAGTGCCGGAGACTGCAGTGGCACATCGTCCTCCTCCTCGGCGCCGGCTTCGCCATCGCCGACGGGTTCAAGGCGAGCGGCCTGACGGACATCCTCGCCGGGTGGCTGGGCTTCCTGCGGGGCGCGCCGGCGCTGGCCGTCGCGCCCGTGGCGTGCGCCTTCAGCGGCCTCCTCACGGAGTTCACCTCCGACGATGCCACCACCACGCTGGTGCTGCCGCTGCTGGCGGAGCTGGGCAGGAGCATCGGCGTGCACCCGCTGCTGCTCATGGTGCCCGGCGCCGTCGGCGCGCAGCTCTCCTACCTGCTGCCCACCGGGTCGCCCGGCAACTCCGTCGGGTTCAGCACCGGCTACGTCACCATCAAGGACATGGTGGTCACCGGCATGCCCATCAAAATCGTCGGCGTCACGGCTCTCACCGTCCTGCTGCCAACGCTAGGTAAGTTCAGACTTCAGACTCTTGAACAAGAAAATCTGCAGAATCATGACCTTCTCTTGATTTGATGCAGGTGTTGCTGTTTTTGGTATGGATCAGAAGGTATAGGAACCTTAATATTTGTTGAACATTTCATCAATCTGTAGAGTGTAGAGTGTAGGTTTATAGTATGTCTAGTAGTAGGATGTTGAGGCTGTACAGTGTATAGTCAGTGTCATTGCCTCACGAACGATATGGGGTCATATTCTTTTCTTTATGTACGAGACGGCATGTAAAATTTGTATCGAACGGTTCCCATATGAATATACCGAAATTTGCAGCTCCTTCATTTTCTGAAACCACAAGGTAGAGTTGGGTATAGATCAACTGGAGACTGCACAATCGCCTTATCTTATACTCCCTCCGTCCGAAAATACTTGTCATTAAAATGAACAAAAAGAAATGTATCTAGAACTAAAATACATCTAGATACATCCCCTTTTATTCATTTTGATGACAAGTATTTCCGGACGGAGGGAGTACACCATATCAAGACCTGATAGCAGCCATGTCTCTGTATGTATACACACACAAATCCACTACTATGAAGATCAGGATCGTATGATTGCACCACCTATAAACAATTGCATGATGAGTAGCAAGTCGCAGAACGTCCCAAGCAATGCCTTGATTATTGACATCTTTCCCTGTCATCTTATCGCTTCCGGTGATGATTGACCGGAACATTCGACACGATATCCTGCATTGTGATCGTGGTTGATAAGACACGACACGATTTGATACTAACATACTAATCTCTCATCCCCTCGGCATGGGGACACCTGCTGAATGCTGATTTGCTTGGGACTCATAAGTGATCGGTATAACCTATGAAATGTAGGTTGAGTATACATATAGAATAAAACAGAGACTTTTGCTGGGTTTGTTTGTGTTTCTTTGGTTTCGGTTTTTCAAAACGAAATATCTCCTGAATCATGTGTCCAAATTATGAACCATTTTCATAGTTGCATTCGCCACGTTGAGATCTATGAAACCAGATCTCATGTTTCAAATAACTTTTTTCGAAAAATCTATGTTCCCAGCTAGTACTAATTTGTGCTTCGTAACGTGTGCTTCCAACTAGCACTAACATGCAAGTTTCCAACGTCTGCTCCCAACGAATACAAACATGTGACTTACTATGTGTAATCTAACCTATGCTCCCACGAGAGAGCAGATATGAGCACATCCATGCTTTTCGAAAGAACCAATGCTTCGCAAGGGGTTGATAAAAAAGCAGGGAAAACAAAAGACAAAAAACAGAGTAAATCAAACTAAAAAGCCCCCCAAAACAGAAACAAGGAAAAAAAAAGCCAGGAAAAGCAGTTCTAATGTGTGAAGTGCCCCGCGTGCAATAAGTGGCGGCATTGGGGTGCTCCACGTCGAGCCCTCGAGCACTCCTACGCCCAACAAAATTGCGTGCCCCCGTTAGTTAGTCATTTTGTATTTCCTGATGCTTATATTATGTGGTAGTAACGCACATATACGGATTGCATTTCCTATTGAACGCGTGTTGGGGGGTGATCGATCAAATGCACATCCCACGCGCTCTACTCGGCCGGTATATCCGAGTGTTTCTTCCAATTTAGGGAAGGCTCTGCTCTCAACTCAAAAAAAGGGAAGGCTCAGCTGGTTTTTTTTTGCTCTACCCGCTTTCTTTAATTTTCTCATGTCCTATTTTCTTCATATTTATTTTTCTTGTTTAATTTTCTTTTGGTCCTTTCTTCTTCTTCTTTTTCCCTAATTCACGAAGATTTTTAAAAATTCTGGCACATTTGTTCCACTATGTGAATAGTTTATCAAATCCTTGAAGAATTTTCAGATTCATGAACTTTTATAAAATCTTGCGAATATTTTTTAAATCCAAGCATTTTTTTGGACAAAAATTGGAATCGACAAAGTTTTTCAACACTTCTAAAATTATAAACAAACTTTTAAAATTGTGAATATTTTATACATTTTTATAATTTCTGAAGCAACTGTTAATTTGTGTACATTTTATTAAAATTATGTGATATCATTTCATAACAATTTTAAAACCATTACAGATTTTAAATTAGCGAAAATTGGTAAAGATGTAAATCAATTTTATAATCCGTGAACATTTGATAAAAAGTTCATCGAATTTGGAAAAAATCCCACAAACTTAAAAAGTTTCATCGAATTTGAAAAACATTAATCAATTTGGGAAAAGTTCATTGATTTTTTTTAAAAAAAATATCGATTCTTAGAAAAAATTCACCAAAAATGAAAAAAGTTCGTTGATTTTCAAAAAAAGTTCATCGAATTAGAAAACAAGTGCATCAAATTTGATCTTTTATTATAATTGAAAAGGTTCATCAATTTTGAAAAAACATCGACTTATAATTTTTTACTAATTTAAGAAAATAAAAAGATAACACCAAAAAAAAGAGAAAACATAGGGGCTTTTGCTATACATAGAAATGTAATAAAACAAGTAGCTATACACAAGCGTGAGGATGGCATAGTGGTTAGTGTTGTTCACTCGCAATATAGGATTTACCGTTGAATAGGAGGACTCCAGGCGTCTGGAAGACCGAGCATAGAAGCAGGCACACGGAATTAGGTCCGCTATGCCCAACCCAGACTTATAATTTAGCAGAAGATTCAAGACAATGATGATAGAGATTATATAGATATCAAGGCAACGACACCACAACCCAACCCATTTTAGTTGGCAAAGCCTAGTTTACACCCGTAGTTCTTTTCGCACGATGTATGTTCGTTCCCTGCAGTTTTTTACGTTTTACCATCTGATGCTTTTTTGTTATTTTTTTGTTCTTTCAAGTTTTTTTATTTTCCCCTTATTTTTATTTTATTTAATTTTTATTGAAATACAAAAAATATTGGGACTTTTAAAAATTGTTCATGTTTTAATTGTTTTTCTTCAGATTTTTAATAATAATAATCCTTTTTTCCAAAGTTTGTTCATAAAATAAAAATGACTGATTTTCCAGAAATATTTCATATTTCAAGAAATATATAGATTTATATTTTTTTATTTTTTAAAAAGGGTGAACAATTTTGAAATACACAGTGAAAAATTCTTTAATATAGAATGAACATATTTTGAATACACACTAAACATTTGTGTAGTATATGTTGAACATTTTTATAATATAAAGCGATGAACATTTTTATAAAATACTGAACAATGTTTTTATTTTTTTCATAGGGTTAAAGTTCCAGGCCACAAAATTGTCAAATCCATTTGGACCAAGGGGATTCTAAGAATGTGATTTGTATCGACTATTGAGAAGGTTACATGAATCAGGTTTAATCCTAGTTGCTAGACGCTGGATCTATCAGATCAGTCGTTTCCTTCACTCATATCAATATATACGAATCCTAAACGCTACAAATCATTGTCGTGCAGACCACTCTGACAGTCTTTTTTTTTTGAAACGAGAAAGAAAAATAACTTCTTCTTTTTTTTTGAAACGAGACTCTCTGACAGTCTGACTGGGAACATACCATATACGGTGGGCTGGCGGCATCGGTTGGTTGTGATATGGGAGCATTTTTTTTTTAGGGGTTGCTATGGAAGCATATGTCTCGCGTGTAGGCGTGTAGCGGTACATACGTAGAGTTCCCCTCTGCCCATTACACTTCTATAACTTTTTTCATTCTTTGGCACTGTGAATACATACATAAACTCCTAGTAAAACAGTCGCACCTTGACAGTATTGTGCTAGGAAGAGTAGTTCGTGGACTGAACATGCCCAGTCATGCCGGGGGCGTGAGTTTGGTCAGGCGTGGACGCGGCGGTCGGCCTTGTGGTCTGACTCGTCGTGGGCGCAATGGCAAATGAACGGCTGTTCGCTGCCGTCCGGTCACTTGTGGACGAGCGTCCGCCGGCGCCGGAACTCCCAGTCTGTTAGACTGTATTTACATATAGCTTCTGTATATGTCTTGTATATTGTATCGTACACTTTGGTGTACCCCTTATATATATGAGATAGCCACACCCTTAACGGGTGTCGTGCAGTTTTCCAAAACCCTAAGTCTTACATGGTATCAACCCTAACCGGTCCTATGTCTTCCGCTGCTGCTGCCGCCGCCGCCTCCGCCACCGCGATCGCGCCCAACTCCGTCGCCGCCGTCGCGCCGGCTTCTGTCACGGCGCCTGCGTCGCCGTTCCTCTCCTCGCGTCCCCTGGTTTCGGTCTACACCGGCCAATCTTCGATGGTAGGCGCCTCCTCGGATCAGCCACCGCCGTCGTCACCGGCCGCGCCTCCGCCGGCCCCGGGGATCCTTCGTACACCGGTCCGTGGATGGGATCGGCCACCTACGGCCCCCACGGGGCTGCTCCACTGCCGCCCGCAGGCCCCTACGGGGCGGCGCCCGTTCCCGCTGGATCGGCAGCCTACGGCCCGTACAGGGCTGCTCCACTCCCGCCCGCAGGCCCCTACGGGGCGGCGCCCGTCCCTGCTGGATCGGCGGCCTATGGCCCCTACGGGGCCGCTACTTCATCAACGGGCCACTACGGGGCGCCGCCCTACGCGCCCGCCGCAGCTGCGTCTCCTGCCGCTGTTGCAGCGGCGCCCTACGCGCCCTACACGCCTTCACCTGTCGCCGCGAACGCTGGGTCGGACAGGGCCCCGCCGCCGCCATTGCCCTACGGCGGCTACTACCCTCCGGCCATGGCTGCATCTGGTGGATCATCTCACATGACCTACTACACGGCGCCTCCTCCTGCTGATCATGCTGTGGCCAGCACGCCGTTTTACTTCGCGCATCTGATCCCAGTGAAGCTGACGACGGACAATTATCTGTCATGGCGTGCACAGGTGCTGCCACTTCTCCGCAGTCGCTATCTGGAGGGCTACGTCGACGGTTCCTTGCCGTGTCCTCCACCACATCACCCGGCATACCATGCGTGGGTGGCTCAGGATCAGGCCATACTTTCGGCGATCCAGTCGTCGCTCACCGAGGCGGTGTCCTCCTTGGTTCTCTTCACTGCCACGTCCCAGGAGGCGTGGTCTGCCCTTCACACTAGCTTTGCATCTCAGCAGCAGGCTCGTGCTCACACTCTTCGTACGGAACTGGGAGAGACCAAGCTTCTTGACCTCAGCATTACCGACTACTTCGGCAAGATGACGCGTCTCGCAGACACTCTGGCCTCCATTGGTCAACCGCTTCGCAAAGAGGACTTCACCACCTTCGTCATGAACGGTCTGGATGACGACTATGATAACCTTGCTGAGAACATCAATGGCCGTGATACTCCACTTGAACCCCGTGAGCTCTACGCCCGCCTCCTTGCCACGGAACAGCGCATCAAGTCTCGCCGTACCAATCCGAGTTTCATGGCTGCCAACGCTGCCACTCGTGGAAAAGGGAAGCCCTTCAAGTCAACTGCAGCGGGCAAAACAGCACCATTGACTTTGCAGGCTCCGCGGTCGCCTGCCGCAGCCCCTTTCCCCACGACCGGGGGTGGTCATTCGTGTGCCTCCTACCCTTCTTGTGGCGTTCAGCTCCCTTGTCAACTGTGCAACATCCCAGGTCATGTTGCTTCCCGCTGTCATCGCCGCTTCAAGCAGGACTTCCTCGGCGTCGGCAACAATGGCAAAGGCAACGAGAAACAAGCTGCCTTGGCCACTCATGAGCCTGCTCGTCAAGCAGGCCACACTACATCATATCCCATTGATCCAACATGGTATATGGACACGGGCGCTACGAATCATTTGACGGGCGAGATGGGCAAACTCTCAGTTCAGGAGCCATACCGTGGTAATGATCAGGTTCACACCGCCAGTGGAGCAGGTATGCACATATCACATGTTGGTCAGGCCTCTCTTTTAACTCATAAACAGAAATCTCTCCATCTTCGTAATGTCCTTAGAGTTCCTTCTGCTACTCGTAGCCTATTGTCTGTTCCTCAGCTTACTCGTGATAACAATGTTTTCACTGAGTTTCATCCTTTTTATTTTTTTATCAAGGATCGGGCCACGAGGGACGTTCTGCTTAGAGGTCGCCTGCGCGATGGCTTATATGCACTTGATCTGCCTTCTGCCCCTCGAGCACTCACTGGTGTCCGTGTGTCGCCTACTCATTGGCATGCACGGCTCGGCCATCCTGCCACTCCCATAGTCCGTAGTGTTCTTCATCGTCATAGTCTTCCCGTTGTGTCCAATAAAGATGTTGCCACAGTCTGTGATGCCTGTCAACAAGGCAAGAGTCATCAGCTTTCGTTTTCTAATTCGAGTCGTGTCATCAAAACTCCACTTGAGCTTATTTATTCTGATGTATGGGGGCATGCCCAAACTTCTGTGAGCGGTCATAATTATTATGTCAGTTTTATTGATGCTTATAGTCGGTTCACTTGGCTTTATCTTATCAACCGTAAATCCGATGTGTTTGATGTGTTCCTGCAATTTCAAGCTCATGTTGAGCGTCTTCTTAAGCATAAGATTATTCATGTTCAGTCAGATTGGGGGGGTGAATATCACAACCTCAATTCCTTTTTTAATAAGCTTGGGATTTCGCATCGCGTGTCTTGTCCTCATACACATCAGCAGAATGGCACGGCTGAACGTAAGCATCGTCACATTGTCGAAACCGGTCTCACCTTACTTGCTCATGCATCAGCACCTTTTCGTTTTTGGAGTGATGCTTTTTCTACTGCCTGTTTTCTTATAAATAGGCTTCCTACACGTCTCCTTGGGATGAAAACACCACTTGAACTATTGCTTAATGAGGTTCCAGATTATACTTTTCTCAAAGTTTTTGGTTGTGCATGCTGGCCTCATCTTCGTCCTTATAATAAGCGCAAGCTCGAGTTTCGGTCCAAACTTTGTGTATTTCTTGGGTATAGCTCTCTTCACAAAGGGTACAAGTGTCTTCATATTCCATCCAACCGTGTCTACATCTCGCGTGATGTTGTGTTTGACGAGAGTGTATTCCCGTTCTCGTCTTTATCCATAACTCCCACACCTCCAGTCTCCTCCTTGCAATCCACCCCTCCACTGCCTGCTCGATTTGTTGATATTGCATATTCTCCTGCGTTGTTGCCTAATCATGCTGCAGGAACGGGTCGTGGAGTTCGCCTGGAGTTGCTGGAGGAGCCGGAGCCATCAACTGCACCCGACGTGGCGAATGGCCTTGTGCATGCGCCATGCATGCCTGGACTGGGCGCCTCAGCGTCGGCTCCGTCCGTGCCGGCCTCTTCTGAGGCTGGGTCGGTTTTGCCTGGGTCGGCCTTGCCCGGGCTGGTCTCCCCTGCGCCGGCCTCCCCCGAGCCGGTGATTCCATCCAGGCCGGCCTCCCCCGAGCTGGTGCTCCCATCTGGGCCGGCCTCTCCTGAGCCGGCGAGCTCGCCTGGGCTGGGCTGCCGCGCCTCAGTTGGCCTTGAGCCGACTGACTCGCCCATCCAGTCGAGTCTGTCGCCCGGGTCGGCCTCGCCTGGGTCGGCCTCGTCCTCGCCTGTTGTCACTGCATCGTCACCGGCTGTGTCAGATACTTCTTCATCGCCGGGGCCGTTGCCACTGGTTGCACCACCTACGGCCGTTCCTCTTCGACCACACACTCGCAGTCGATCCGGTATTGTGTGTCCCAAGCAACGCAAAGATGGGACGGTCGCCTGGCTTGTGGCATGTGTTGCTCATGTCAAGGAAGACCCTTCGGCTGAACCGCGTCACTTCCAGGTTGCTCTCGGGATTCCTCATTGGCGTCAAGCTATGGAGCAAGAGTATCAGGCATTGTTGACAAATGGTACTTGGCAGCTTGTTCCTCCGGTCTCTGGTGTCAATGTCATTGATTCCAAGTGGGTCTTCAAGGTTAAGAAGCATGCTGATGGTTCTATTAAACGCTATAAGGCACAATTAATGGCGAAAGGGTTCAAGCAAAGGTATGGTCTTGACTATGAGGATACGTTCAGTCCGGTGATCAAACCAACAACTATTCGACTTCTGTTGTCCTTGGCTGTTACTCGGGGCTGGTTTCTTCATCAGCTGGATGTTCAGAATGCCTTTCTTCATGGTGTTCTGGATGAGGAGGTTTATATGCGTCAGCCCCCTGGTTTTGTTGATCCTGCTCGTCCTCATCATCTGTGTCGCCTGGTCAAGGCGCTCTATGGGTTGAAGCAGGCTCCTCGTGCTTGGCATGCCAGATTGGGCTCTGTTCTTCGGTCACTTGGTTTTGTTCCCTCTACTCCTGACACCTCGCTCTTCCTTCTGCATCGACCTCAGGTGACGATGTATCTTCTAGTATATGTTGATGACATTATCCTCATTAGCTCCTCGGATGCTACTGCTGACCGTCTGATATCTTCCTTGAGTGGAGATTTTGCGGTAAAGGATTTAGGAACGTTGCATTACTTCCTTGGGCTGGAAGTTTCACGTTCTTCTGCTGGCTTGACACTCACACATCATAAGTATTCGATGGACCTGTTGCGACGGGCAGGTATGCTTAAATGCAAACATGTCATGACTCCTATGTCTGCTACTGATCGTCTGTCTGCGTTTGATGGAGATCCTCTCACCTCTGATGACGCCACTGAGTATCGTAGCGTTGTTGGTGGCCTGCAGTACTTAACTATCACTCGGCCAGATATCTCATATGCAGTCAATCGTGTGTGCCAATTTCTTCATGCTCCTCGGACTTCTCATTGGACAACGGTGAAGCGGATTCTTCGTTATGTTTGCTTTACTGCCTCATATGGTTTGCTCCTTCAGCCAGCACCGTCTCCTACGCTTTCTGCTTTTTCAGATGCTGACTGGGCTGGTAATCCAGATGACAGGCGATCCACGGGGGGACATGCTGTCTTCTTTGGTCCTAACTTGATCGCCTGGGCTGCTCGCAAACAAGCTACAGTGTCCAGGAGTAGCACTGAAGCAGAATATAAAGCTGTTGCAAATGCTACAACTGAGATCATATGGGTACAGTCCTTATTGAGAGAGTTGGGAGTTCCTCAAACTCAGCCGCCTGTCCTTTGGTGTGATAACATTGGAGCTACATATCTCTCATCTAATCCAGTGTTTCATGCTCGGACAAAGCACATAGAAGTTGACTATCATTTTGCACGGGAACGTGTTGCACAGAAGCTACTTCACATCAAGTTCATCTCCTCCAAAGATCAATTTGCTGACATCTTCACGAAGTCTCTTCCACAACCTCAGTTTGTAGGCTGCAGGCGCAATCTTAACATACTTTGTACTTTAGGGCATAGTTAAGATTGAGGGAGGGTGTTAGGCTGTATTTACATATAGCTTCTGTATATGTCTTGTATATTGTATCGTACACCTTGGTGTACCCCTTATATATATGAGATAGCCACATCCTTAACGGGTGTCGTGCAGTTTTCCAAAACCCTAAGTCTTACACAGTCGACAACGTGTAGCTCGATCTGTACCCTCCGTGAGGCGGCGCGTACACTGCCATCGGCCTCTCCGGGGGGAGTTCCGGAAGCGGCGCCTCGAACTGGAGCACGCTCATGGCCTGTCGGATGGACGGCCGGAAGCCGTAGTCCGGGTGGACGCACCAGAGGCCCGTGACCAGCGCGCACTCCATCTCGCGCTCGTCCATGTCGCCGTCCAGCCGCGCGTCCGCCGCGTCGAGGAGCGCATCTCTCCCGTACAGCCCCCAGACCCACTCGACGAGCAGGACCTTGCTCTCCTCCTCCTGCGGGTCGACGGGCCTCCGGCCACAGGCGATCTCCAGGAGGACGACCCCAAAGCTGTAGACGTCGGTCTGCGCGCTAGCCCGGATGGTCACCGCGTACGCCGGGTCCATGTAGCCCTTGGTGCCGGCCAACGTCGTCGTGGTGTGAGCGCCGCTGCTGTGGTTGACGAGGCGCGCGAGCCCGAAGTCTCCCAGCTTGGCGTTGAACGATGAGTCAAGCATCACGTTGCTCGGCTTGATGTCCCTGTGCACCACGCACTGCTCCCACTCCTGGTGCAGGTATGTCAGAGCAGACCCCATGCCAAGTATGATCTGGTACCTGTACATGTCACCAGAAAAATGAGGGTTTGAACCTCCTTTTTTAGAAAAAATCCACAAGACAAATACCAAAAATATACTCTGTGACCTTGAAGTGTAAATAATATCTGTTCACCGAGAATTCATCTTGATTTATTTAATATGTCTAAAGCAGATGGTAAATAAAACCTTTTTTTGTAACTTTAGGTCGACATCTACACAACTGCTCAAAATTCCACATCTCTTAACTTCATGTTGCATCATAAACCAGTAGGTGAGACTTAGAGCACGGTTAATAGAAGAGCCTGCTGCTGGCTCTAAGAATGTGCCATGTCACTTGTAGCTCTTGTAAAAGTTAACTCATATAATAGGTTGGCTGTATGTTAGCTGTTATATGGATTGTATCATTAATTGTTTGCATGTGAAGAAGCACAAGGCACTCACGTGATTGGAAGAGAGGTGGAAACGCCGGCCAAAAGCTCTCACATCGGCTGCATGCGGGCGATTTATTCTAGTTTAGTGTGCTGCAGCTGGGCGCTAGCCGAAGCGCCCGCTTCATTCTCTCTCTCCCTTTCTCACTCCTTCATATAGGATTTTGCTTACATGAAACATCTTGTAGCCTGCTGACTAGGACTTATTATACTTGCTCTTAGAAACAATTGAAAAAATACACTCAAATTCATGGTACCTGGTTGCCCATGTTAGGACTTCCGTGGAATTGTAGAGATGGGCATCGAGGCTGCCGTTCGTCATAAGCTTGTAGACGAGCAAGAGCTCGTCGGCTTTGTGGCACCACCCGACAAGCTGGACAAGGTTGCGATGCCGTAACCGACCGATGATGGTCACTTCTGCGATGTATTCTCTCCTCCCCTGACTCGACGTCTTGGAAACTCTCTTGATGGCCACATGCAGCCCCTGGTCTTGCAAGAACCCTCGATATACTGCCCCGAAGCCACCCTCGCCTAGCTTCTCATCGTCGGAGAATCCCCGAGTGGCCCGCGACAGCTTGTTGTACCTGAATCTCCGAGGCCCCACCCCCTTCTCAAACTCGTTGTCCATGTCTTGGTCAAGAGGGGTCTTTGCACCTCTAGATGCTATACCCTTCCTTTTCAGACAATTGCGGTAGCTGAGCCATGAGGCTATGGCGAGCAATACGAAGATACCAGCGGATACTAGCCCGGCAATTAGACCTCTGTTTTTCGTCTTTGAATCTATCAATAAACATATCAAGTTAATAAATTTCATATGGCAAGTCTTTTGCCTTGTTTCAAAAAATAAATAGTCACGTAGTGCATTGTGAACTTACAACAACAACTAAACAATAAAACATTTTGTTACGCTTAATTTTTTTAGCTTTAAATCCAACTACTCCCTCCATTGCAGAATATAAGGTTATCAATTTTCGTGAAAGTCAAACGTATGTATGTTTGACCAAGATTTATAGAATAAAATATCAACATCTACAATACCACATTTATGAATGTATTCCATCCACATGTTTCTTGCGTGTATGATCTCATACCCAAACCTAGTCACGTAAGAGCATCTCAAGCCGTTGTGCCCCCCAGGAGGCGTTTTTTCGGCCTCCTAGGGAGGCCCCGACGCTAACTTTGTCTTTGGGTGCAAAAATTTTCCAACCGTTGTGCCTCCCAGGTTGTGTCTTATTTTTTCTTTTTCACTTTGTCATTACAACAAACATGTTGTGGGCACTGCCGGGCCACGTGAGCTTGAGCTCGTCGGCGACGACCCCAGCCGACCGGGCGACTCCCTCAGCCACGTCTTCGTCTTCCGCCGCCGGCGACGCGCTGCTCGAGCTCGGCGCACCCCCCGGTGCCGCCGCCGACGTTCTCTCCACCCGCGCAGACTGCATCTCGTCACGCACGGCGACGGCTGGCTGCCTCGGCCTCCTCCCGGCTCCACCTTGAGGCGCACCACGCCGGCCGCTCCCGCTACATGCTCTCCGGCTCCACATCACGTCGATGGACTCCTCCTCGTCACGCACTTGGCCAACCCGTCGAGGCTGCTGATGCCCGTGGTGCACCATGCCCGGCCACGCACGGCCGCGTCCGCCTCGCCCTCGTCGTCGCCGCACTCGGACGGCTCCGCCCTGAGCAGCTCCGCGAGGCGGTCGGACCGCACCCTCGGCTACGACTGCGCGCCCTGCGCCTGTCCGGCCGGTGTTGGTGAGGTTGCTGGGGCGCGGCGTGGTGCTGGAGCATGGAGTGCAGCGACACGACGATGGCGCGACGTGGTGGAAGGAGAGCAGCAGCACGACGAAGAGCGCGATGAAGCGGTTGATCCCGGAGCACTAGTCCGGCGTGAAGATGCCCCACCACTCCTCGTGCGCCCCGCTAGCCCAGGCATGCCCTGCCGGCCGCGACCCGCTCTGCTGCCGGCCACTTCTGCCCGAGCCACAGGAGCTCGGCTGCGAGCTTCTCGGCCGCACCAGCTCCATGAGCCCCCGCACCAGCTTGTACTTGCGGGAGGCCACGGGGAGCCGGGACGCGACCCAGAGCACGCCAGCTCTTGCTGTAGTCACTCCGCCCTGCCACGCTTCGCCCGGCCGTGAACTCGCCGGCCATGCTCCGCCCCGCCCGGCCTCGGAGTTGCTCGTGGCCTCCCCGGAGGCCATCGCCCTCTCCCCGTCCACGCCTGGCCACGAGCTCCACTCTGCTCCGTCGAGGGCGGCCACAACACGCAGGGGAAGCACGTCGAGCAGGCGGGAAGGCAGGCGCGTCGTGGAGAGAGGGAAGGCGAGCACGTGAGGGTGGGACCTGGAAAAAAGAAGGAGAGAGAGGGGGTGGGAGGCTGACTGTGGGCCAATTGCATGTAAAGTCTTCTCTCTCCGCCCCCAAGTGACTCCCGGTGGGCTGGGTTTCACCTGCGGTCGCCGGCTGAGTTTTTGGGTTAATCCGGCAAAAAATGAGATGTTGGGGCCGTGACTGGAATGATTTTTAACCACCGGCGCCAAAAAAGGCCTCTTGGGGGTGTCTTGGGGGGCCGGCTGGAGATGCTCTAATGTATCATAAAACTATAAGCCACATAAGAGCATCTCCAGCCGCGCCCCCAACAGGCCCCCCCCAGGCGACTTTTTCGGCGCCAGCGCCAAAAAAAGCCCCAGTCGCGCCCCCAGGACGACGGAAAGCGCCGGTTCGGCCCTTTTTTCCGCCCGGTGGCTGCAGGCCGAACCCGGCGCGCTGGGGGCGCTTGGGGGCTCCGGCGCAAGGGAAAAGCGCGGCTGGCCCACGCCGTCAGGTGAAAAGTCAAGATTTTCTTCCCCGACTCGCCTCCCACCCCCCGTGCTCTCGGCCGCCACTAGCTATATCCCAGCGCCGCCTGCCGCCCTTCACCGGTAGATAGCTGGTAGATAGCCATTCCACGCCGGAAAAATAGCAGAGGTTCGCCGCGGCAGCCCCCGACAGCAGTTGGGCGTTTCCGGCCTCGGAGGGGCAGTTTAGCGGCGGGTGCACGCCCACTGGGCGCAAGGTGTTCGGCGATTTGCCTGCCTCGGCGATGGACTCGGATGACGAGGAAGTGCTCGCCGCGCTGCTGGAGGAGGAAGCCGAGGCCGACGTCCAGGAAGAAGAGCATCTCATGGTGCTCGCCGCCCTCGCCCAGCTGCTAGCACGCAACGAAAAGCCGCGGCGAGGTGGCTCGGCACCAGGGAGGTGAAAGCAAAGAACCGGCATCGTCTCGAAGGCTACTGCATGCTCTACTCCGACTACTTCGCTGATGCTCCACTTCACGGCGACAAAACATTTCGGCGCCGTTATCGGATGAGCAGAAAGCTTTTCCTCAGGATTGTGAATTCCAACCGGGAGTTCGACAGCTACTTCAAATGCAAGATGGATTGCACCGACAAACTTGGATTCACCTCAATCTAGAAATGCACGACAACGATGAGGACGCTTGCATACGGAGCTCCCGGTGACTCACATGACGACTATGGGCGCATGGCCGAGTCCACCAGCATAGAGTGTTTCTACAAGTTCTGTCGGGCAGTGGTGGCAGTGTTTGGACCGCAATACTTGAGAACACCCAATGCGGAAGACACTGCTCGGATCCTAGCACAGAATGCAGCAAGAGGATTTCCTGGGATGCTTGGAAGCATCGATTGTATGCATTGGAAATGGAAGAATTGCCCATTTGCTTGGCAGGGGATGTACAAAGGTGCCAAAGGCGGTTGCAGTGTGGTACTTGAGGCGGTGGCCACACAGGACCTCTGGATTTGGCACTCCTTCTTTGGTATGCCAGGAACTCACAATGACATCAACATGCTGCAATGGTCTCCTGTCTTTGCCAAGCTTGTTGAAGGTCATTCTCCTCCGGTGAACTTCAAGATCAATGGGCGACACTACAACAAGGGGTACTATCTAGCTGATGGCATCTATCCGAGATGGTCGACATTTGTGAAGACCATCAAAAACCCTGTGCCTGGAGGCAAGAAAGCCTGGTTTGCGAAGATTCAGGAGGCTTGCAGGAAGGATGTCGAGCGGGCATTTGGTGTGCTCCAATCTCGATTTGCTGTTGTCCGGTACCCCGTTCAGACCTGGTCGAAAGATCAAATGTGGGAGATCATGACCTGCTGTGTCATCTTGCACAACATGATCATTGAGAGCGAGCAGAAAGAGCCAGTGTTTGACACCGAACCATACCACAGGCAGGGTCCTTTTGCCCAAGTTGATCACCAGCTACCGGCAACCTGGACTGCCTACCTCAGTATGCATCAGGAGATCCGAGACCCACAGGTGCATCATCAACTGCAGTAAGATCTGATAGAGCACCTATGGAGGCTCAAGGGCGACGCCGGGCACGACATGTGATGAAACATGAGTTTTTATTTGTTGAACTATATAATTTGTATTGAACTATTTGTTATTGTAATATTTTGTTGAAGTATTTGATTTTTCTGTGATGAAATATGTGTTAAAAAATATATTTATGTTGATAATTGAACGCCGAGCCACGGTGAACCACGCCGAATATGGGCCTATTCTCGCTCATATGGGTCCTTTTCGCCGAAATGGGGCTTCAAAAGTGGGCCAACATCGGCGCCTGAGGGCGAGCTGGGGGCGACGTCTGGGTATAAAACCGCCCCTAGCGCCGAACGAATCGCCGGCTCGCCCCCAGGGGGCGATTTTTATGCGTCCTGGGGGGGCCAACGGCTGAAGATGCTCTAAAAAGATCATCTAATTTGCACTTTAAATCAGTAATACTCTGGAGTATGAAACTATGGAGTTGCACAAAAAAAAGAGAGTAACTACCTAACGAAAGTTGTAGTTGAGTACGCGTGTAGGTGCACCTCTTATCTATACCAACTAATTTTGCATCAAAGTTCGTTTCCAAAATACTTTTTTTGTTTCTCCCAAATAAAAAACATTTGGACTTGAAACTTTGTAGGTCAACATCACATAAATCCTCCCATGTGTAGAAATTGCTTCATATTTTTGACGCAACAGAAATTTCTAAAATAATAAATTTTATTCTAAATTTATAAATCGAGAAATTTATGCTTGCACCCAAAAAAGCTGAAATATTTTCTGCACATGGTAGTACTTGTGTGATCATTGACCCATAAAGTTCTAAGGTAAAATGTTCTAGAGAGAGCATGGATCTTAAAGAACTTGATGGTCCAAATAAGGGGTTCACCTGCACGTGTGCTAAAAAACCCACTTTCTTTTTTATGTTTGCTTCCATATGACTCTCACTGTACGCTTATGGTCGCGTTCGAAGCAAAAATCGAAATTTGGTTGTTGTTTGGAAAAATATTATTTTGGAGTTGAACATGAACTGAAAAAATTATAGCTCAAACACAAAATAATGTAAATCTCAATTGATTGAGCAATAAAATTTACTTTTTTAGTTTCTGTTTGGAAAGGAATTTGATCATTTGTCTCTGTTAACTATAAAAATTATGGTTTTCTATTCGAATTTGCACGGGGTTGATTATTCATTTTTGTTACATGTTATATAATTTTATGTTTGGTATTTGTTATTTGCAAGGCTTTTGATTGTGTATTTTCGTTACCTATACAATTCTATTAATTTGGAGTTATATTTGTTTGTCAAGCATATCACTTACATTTTATGCAATATTTTTTGTTTCTGAAATTGCACTTTTTATGCAATTACATTTCTGTTTTGTGCTGTGATTACACCTTTTATTGTGCAATTGCCCTTATCATTTAGGTAATTGGCAATTTTTGTGCTACAATAATAGAAAAAAATAGTAATAGGCTGCCTCAAAAAGAGCAGAACAAAAGCACCAGAGCTAATGTTGTGTACATGGCAAAGAGCAACTCTAGCAGATTCCCTAAATGACGAGCCTTAAAAATGACTTTAAAGCTAGAGCCTTTTTTAAGGTTTCGGAGAGCCGTGTTACTTCAGATTCCCTGAAAACAGCTACCTTTATAATATTTTTCTATTCTATTTCTCTTAATATGTGTGTAAAAGAACTTTATTTCAGCAAATTCACACAAATATGTTTCAAACTTTTATGTTTCCACACCACACAATTTAGCAGCATTTCAAATGCATAATTTTCAAACTTCCAAATGCAAATTCAAACAGAACATACTTAAGGTAATGCATGATACTACATAAAACTAAACATTAGATAAGGGCCAAATGCTTCACAAAAGGATAATTAAACATAGGTAAGTTCCAGATGCGACATAAACATATATTATAAGGCAAAGATGGTGCAGTCTAACGACATAACAAGGCTCGTGGCCGTTATCGTGGTCATTAGAGGTGGAGTGCGAAGATATCTCCATAACGACAACGAAGGAAGACTAGACACCCCTTCTCCAGGCCTCCCACTCGGCCCTAGTGGCAGAAGAATCCATGACCGCCTTGAGAACCCTCTCCTCTTTGGCTACGACCGCCTAGGAGGCCTTAGAAGTGCACGTGGCAGCCTAGAGCATGCTCTCCTCTTCAGCTACGCCCATGGCGTCGACCTAGGTGATCGGAGGTTTCTATGGACGCATAGATCATTCTCTCCACTCCAGTCTGAGCAATGCCCTAGTCCCCTGGGTTCGTGATATTGTACCAATTAATGGTGTCTTCGGAGTCTGTGGTGTTCAACATATTTTCAAACACCCCGCCAGCGTTGCGCGAAGCGGAGGTTGCGCCTGTTGGACGGGGTGCCTGGGAAGGGAGCGGGCGAGGAGGTCCCCTCCAGCGTCGAGAAGCATCGACATGCAAAGCAGACACCCCTACCCGCGATCTCTGTAGAATGACAGAGGGACGTGGTTGCAGTGCGAATGTGAGGAGGCGGGGTTCTATGATGGGGGTTGTGGGAGCGGTGGTGGAGCCGAGGGAATGGCGACGGGGCGTGGGGAATAATGGCTGGAGCGCGTGAAGGGGGATGAGGCTGCGGCCGTATGAGAGTGGCGAGGGTGATACGGACAGTTATGAGCGCAAGTGCTTGGGTAGGAACGAAATTTCCCGGCACCAAAAAGTATATAGAGAGCGTTGCATATTCTGTTATTCTCTGTATATAAATTTAGAGGGTTGATTTTAGGATAACTTTGATAACAATGGCAATAGAAGGGACCGTAGAAAAAAAAATATAGTTTGTTTTGTTCCGAAAATACCCAAATGAACCTTGGTCTAGGCGCACCCTAATCGGATTTTGTTTTTAAATATAAAAAGGTCAAACAATTCTGAAACTTCTTTTAATGAATATTGCCTAGTGTTATACGCTCGCATAAAGTTTCAAGAAGAAATGACTTCCATGGTCTTTTATGAAAAAACTAACATTTTTTTACTTTTTAAAATTAAAATGTTATACAGGGTGTGCCTAGCACCATGTTCCAAGAATCCGCGTCTGTTTTTGCTCACTCTTCATTATTTTGGCACTTTTCTTATAAGGCTGGCCATAGTGGAGGTAACATCACCGGTAACATGCACTTGGGACTAGCATGCTTATGTGACACACAATTAATGAAGAGAGAGAGAGAGTTCGAGTAACATAGGTAGACACCGTATCATGTTAAATGCTATGCTGCTTTGTGTCGTGCATGACAATAAATATGATCATCTATGATACTATTTTATGTTAATATGCACCACGGAGGTAGTATCATATACTAGTATCATATGCATGATACGAGTATATGATACTCCCCACTATGATCAGCCTAAGGTGAAGGAGAGGTAAGGGTTTCTGTCAGAGCTGCCCAAATTAACTATCATTTACATATTCTCAGATGATTCCTAAGTCGGTAAAGAAGTTGAACATAGCCTCTTCTTTTTTCCATATAAAAAAAGCTGAACATAGGTAAACACAAGCGAAGGCACCTACCGGACATAGTGGAGTCGAACGACCATGAAAGAATCTGATGCTGCTCGATCAAGTCCGCGATGGACGCCGAGAACCCAACCGCCGCGTCCTGCGGCAGACCGGCTTTCCGCAGATCTACGTTTGCGCTGACCGCGTATGTGATCTGCCCTGGCGAGTCGTCGAACCGCAGAGTGGCCGAGAGCGTGGCCGTTTGAGCGTCGTAGCTCACCTTCGCCGACATGAACCCGTTAAAGATGCCGTCCGGCAGCGCCGTGTATTCCATGGACCTGATGCTGTTGACGTTGACGCCGATGTGGCAGTTGGTGTCGGTGGGGTCCCAGCCGAAGTTCCTGAACGTGTCGAACTCCACGCCGACGGTCGGCGGGAAGCCGGTGTTGGCCGGGTTGTCGCGGTTGTTGAACAGCGCGAGGTACCCGCCCGTCGCGTCCGTGGGCATGCTCGGCGGGTAAGGCCCCACGAAGAACGCCATGCCATCACCTCTCTGTAGCGCAAGCAGCCACTGGTAAACGTACGAACGGCATGCATGTCATGAGAAAATAATTCTACTTGCCGCGCTGTTATCGCTGGCGGGCTTGATGGCGAAGGCGAAGTTGGTGGTGAAGCTGGCGACCTTGCCTGCGCTGTCGTCCCAGAGACGCACCGCCTGCCCGTGGGCTACGCGGCCGGTGCTCCACTTCCTTGAGTGGTTGGTCAGGTCGATCCGGTTGAGGGCGGGGGCGGAGTCGTTCATGTACTTGAGGTCGGCGCTGGCGAGGACGCCGGCACCGGAGAAGTTGTAGCTGAAGCTAAGGGAGGCGACATGAGGAAGCCAGCTAGCCAAAAATTCTGTGCATACCGGTTGCAAACTCCATCTCGTGCATACCCTCTCTCAGATGCTATCACGTGTCCCACCTACTCATCTGACGATATCTGCTCCTCCGCTCCGTTCGTGGCTTCTCTCGGCTCCGAAACGAAAGCTCGGCTCCAAACTACATGTGATCCCGGCTCCTTGACGAGACGAGGCCAGCGGAGGTGGAGGCCCACGCAGCCGAGTCGGCTCAGGGCATCCCTTTCCTTTCTCTGCCAGTCGCCGGCTCCAAGGTCCGCCGCCGGAGTCCCCTGCCCCGCCGCCTCGTGCGCCACGATGGAGGACAGGACGCGCCGCTCGCCCCCTCCTTCTCCGCCTCAGGCGGCGGCCTCTCCCTCCACCACGGGCACCTACTGCATCTCGCCCATAACTGGTAATCCCCCTCCCTAAGCACCCCAATTGACAACAAATCTTATAAAAAATGATCTTATTCAAGTATATGTGCTGTTCCAAGGTTGGTACGGTTGTTAGATAGTGAATTGTGGTTTACAAACTGCCGATTCCATTGGTGATTCTGTACATAACATGGGCTGATATCGTTTGGTGCAATGTCCTGATTCATTATGGCACTCAACAGTCAACACTGAAATTTGTCCTTCAATTGCTTATCCAGTGGTGACTCCTGCTGCGCTTGCATTGATACTGAAATTAGCAATTCAGAGTGTATAAGACAGCCATAGATAGCAGTAATTTTTTTCTTGAGCAGAGCCTTAATTAGATAGCAGTTGATTCAGGAAATCATGCATAGTGATTCACCAATGCAGACCACCAAATTACAACACTGAATTTGGACCACGCTGCCACAATGCCGTTCATTGTCCAATGAAAGTTTTTTCTTATACAAAAGACAACCTTAAAATTTACTCGGATTTTGAACGAAACAAATAGAAAACAATCCGAATGATTCAGTTATCTTGTATGAGATGTGCTCCGTATTTATTTGTTGGGCAGTGAACACGAGTTCTGGTTCTGTAACTCGACTACATGATAGAATAAACAGAGGAAGCATAAGGTGAAATGTTCAATGCCTCGTGTCTGGTTATTGTATTTGTTTATTTGAACCTTTCATGCTTATAGTATACATAATTCCAATGATTTTTCTCTATGTCTCAAGTACATGACCAAACTCACATTCTGTGCATGTCCTTTACTATCTTGGAGCAGCTTCATGTATAAAAGCTTGTGGCAGACTTCAAGGAGAAATTGTCAAATCCACGACCGTGAGGGACTAGTGAACAAAGAGAGAACGGGACGCCACATACTCGTGCAGCAGCCATGCTCCGCTGGACAAAGACCCTCAAGTACACCACTGCAACAAAACAACTGCCGAGGAAACCTTTGGAGAAGACTCCATGCTTCCTAATAGAGTAGACTTGGCCTAGGAATATCAAATTTTGTAAATTTGGAGTTGGACAACTGTTGTATCGCTGTAGAGCTGATTGCTCTCCTTGACAATGTACAATAACTTGTGTACAGTGTACCTTTTCATTTGAAATACATATGGATGATTTGAAGTCTTCAACTTGATGGATGTGTTTCCGAAATGTGACTGTTTCTCTAATTTCTCTGATTTGCTATACACTGTAGCAAAGATGTTATTTTTGTTTGCCTTGTCATTAACTGGACTAAACTTCAGTTAAAGTCAGACAACACAATATGTCTACAAATTCAGTCATTTAATTCTTATTTTTTTGTAGCTTCTAAAGCACAAGAACATAATTCGTGAAATTCCACTGGACCAAGGATCTTTCCATGCTAACTCTGTAAATATTTTTGTCTCGAAGAAACCTCATTAAGATGGCCAACCACAAAACTCAATTTCGACTATGAATGTGACATCCTTTAAGGACCGCCAATTTTGATAATAATTATATTTTAAATCAGCAGTCCAGAAGTTTTGAAACCTTTACAGTTGTTCTAACTACAGCTTGTAATTGATGATTAGTGTAGGGAAATTTATGTAGCTCACCAAAACCTCTACAACAGGCACGCTACTCAATTTGATCAAGATTTAACACTGTACGTTCGGTCACACTATCAATGTAATTTTAGAGAAATCCATTTGGATGACTGCTGCACCCCTTTTCCTATCATGGCGGCATGTAGTCAGGTTTATGTGATCCAAGCCAGCGGCAGAGCCACCATGGTGGTCCTTGTAAGAGACAATGTCAGATTCAGGATGGCCACTCCCGTCCTTCTCGGCGATCCTACCTGCGGCAGAACGGTCCGCGGCGGCCATGGATGTCCTTCCAACCCCATGTGGCCATGGGAAGGAATGGACGGCCTTTGGGCGTGCGACGGACATGGCTGTAGTTTCGCTCGGTGGAGCGAAAGCTCGACCATGAACGTGGCCACCAATCACATTACGGACGGGGAGAGTGCCCCGGTCGCTCAGCCATGATAAAACTTGACCGGATCACGGCTGGACGGGGAAGCAGCAGCTAGCAATTACAGATGTTTATCTGATCGGAAGCGACCGCAGATGCATTATTGACGGGAGCCGGGATTGTACCACGATGAGCCGGGATCGTATGTTTGGAGCCGAGCGTTCGTTTCCAATCCAAGCCGAGAGAGGCCACGAACCGAGCAGAGGAGCAGACATCGTTCAGATGAGGAGGTGGGACACGTGGGAGCATCTAGGAGAGGGTATGCACGAGATGGAGTTTGCAACCGGTATGCACGGAAATTTTTTCCCCACCATGACCTATCCTATGAAGTACTCCCTCCGTCCGAAATTACTTGTCTCAGAAATGAATGTATCAAGATGTATTTTAGTTCTAGATACATCTACTTTTATCCATTTTTGCGATAAGTAATTCCGGACGGAGGGAGTATGAAAGTACAGCATGTTATGTGCAAGCTCTTGCTCGTTAACTATATTTGCACGAAGGTCTACGAACCTGCTGCGCTAGTCCGTTAGTCCTCCTCTCATCGTCGTTGATAGTTCAGGTAAAGGTTTTAATTGGTCGATCATAGGGACATTCTTTTCCTCGATCATACGGTCAAAGACTCAAAGGCCGGCCTGAATGTCTACATCAAGCTGGCCTCTGCTATGCGTATTATATACCCGTACACGTAGTTGATATTGAATTCCACGCGTCGCCCCAGATTGATCCCTTTCTCGGAAGGAAAATCTTGCACAGGAGGCCAAGACCTCGTACTAGGGCTACGTACTACTACTCTCTCGTCAACTTCATATTAGAAGGATTTTTTTTTTTTGCATTACAACCCCTAAGCTTTGTCAATCAAGTACTGACATCATTCCCACGTGTGGCTACAAAGTAGAACATGTTCTAAACATACTGCTTTCGAAGACTATTGAACTTTTTTATTCGTATGTCCACCATTACTGATTTCAGAACTAACCTATTTTTAAGCGTTAACAAATTTTGCATGGATATTTTAAGTTTAATGTGCTAGGAAAATGAAGAGATCCCTAAAATGAACAACAACTTGTATATTTATTTCCTTTTGCAAAATTAATAAGATTATACTGCGCAGCACATTGTTTTCAGCCTCAAATACAATATCCAATACAGATTCAACAAAAAACATGTACAAAGATCTCGTTGGAACAAATGTGCAAGAAAGTGTTTACAAATCCACAAAAACATGTACATAGAAGACACTCGAAATCATATACACAAAATGGATAGGATGTGAAAGTGCACAAGATTGCCTCATGGTGATCGAACACAGAGGCCATGTCTTTCGGCCATGTAAACTGGCAATAGTGGAGCTCAAGACAGTTGGATCCGATGGTGGCGACTCGGGCAAGGGATCATAATCTGATGACGATGATGGGCTTTGACGACCAACGACTATGGTGGTGGCACAACAGTGGACTCTTGGGATGTCCGACTTGCCGATGGTTTGGCCTAGTTTCATTCTGCACTTCAATCACCCTCCCCCCTCTCCTTAAGGCCTTGTTCGGTTTGGGAGGGTTTGAAGAGGTTTGAAAGGGATTGAAGGGGATTAAATCCCTTGCAAGTCAAAATCCTTCTCAAACCTCCCCAATCCCCTTCAATCCCTGTGGCAAGGGGATTAACCGAACATGGCCTAAGGTGAATCTGAATGATCAAACCCTGAAGTAAAATAGGATCCTTTTTACTTTCAGAATGAAGTGAGTGTTGCATTTGTGAGATGAAAAAGGGAATTTTGTGCAAAATCATACCATTATCCAATTGTCCTTTTGGTTGGATCGCATGATCTCACATGAAGTGCTGACTCTATACTAGTCTTCCCCACACTATGAACGTGCATATGACTCATGTGTACTCGGTCCGTTTTTATTTACTCCGCATATTAATTTTGATTGAAGTCAAATTTTATAAAGTTTGACCAAGTTTGAAGAAAACAATATGAATATTTACAGTAACAAATTTATATGATGTGAAAATATATGCAATGATGAATTCAATGGTATTGATTTGGTGGTGTATATGTTAATATATTTTTCTATAAATTTGTTCAAAGTATATAAAGTTTGACTTTAGACAAACCTAATATGTGCAGTAAATAAAAACAGAGGGATTATTAACACAATCTAGCCAAAACACGTTTTTTAACTAATAATATAGTATAAATCCTCATGGGAGCCGTGAGTCATAGGCCATTCACCTTCATAGCATTTATGCACATGTCACCCGAGATTGGCATGCACATAAGCTAGCAGCTCTATATTTTGCATTAAAAGAATCAGTACGAAAAAGATCATCAAACAGCTGCGTCAAAGCAACCTTCTTTTATGACATTTGAATAATTAGAATCGCAGAAATTAAGCATGGATTGAAGCACATGAGGGCACACATGATCCTAATTTCGTCAAGGGATTTAAGATCTAATAGATACACGTGAATATGAATTAGACAGAAGTCCAATTG